ATTGGCAGTATATCTGGTGTGTATGTTATTGGACCGGAAACTACACTTTGTATATCGGCTGTTTTCAATACGGGTACCAGGTCCATAGCAGCATCTAAGTTATCACTGATACGGTCCAAATCACTCTCAAATAATTCTTTACCAAAGCCTAAAATTAGATATCAGAGAAAACCATTAAAAACAATAAAAACAATAAATTTTTTTTACTACGGATAAGACATGCAGTTTGTAAAATGTGATACTTGTGACACAAAGTGACATGACACACTGGTGGAACACTACCACACAATTGCCCTGTGACACATGACACACTGGTTGAACACTACCACACAATTGTCCTGTGACACATGCCACACTGGTTGAACACTACCACACAATTGTCCTGTGACACATGACACACTGGTTGAACACTACCACACAATTGTCCTGTGACACATGCCACACTGGTGGAACACTACACACAATTGTCCTGTGACACATGACACACTGGTGGAACACTACCACACAATTGTTTTGTGACACATGACACACTGGTGGAACACTACCACGCAATTGTCCTGTGATACATGACACACTGGTTGAACACTACCAAACAATTGTCCTGTGACACATGACACACTGGTGGAACACTACCACACAATTGTCCTGTGATACATGACACGCTGGTGGAACACTACCACACAATTGTCCTGTGACACATGACACACTGGTGGAACACTACCAAACAATTGTCCTGTGACACATGACACACTGGTTGAACACTACCACCCAATTGTCCTGTGACACATGACACACTGGTGGAACACTACCAAACAATTGTCCTGTGACACATGACACACTGGTTGAACACTACCACACAATTGTCCTGTGACACATGACACACTGGTGGAACACTACCACACAATTGTTTTGTGATACATGACACACTGGTGGAACACTACAACACAATTGTCCTGTGACACATGACACACTGGTGGAACACTACCACACAAATGTCCTGTGACACATGACACACTGGTGGAACACTACCACACAATTGTCCTGTGACACATGCCACACTGGTGGAACACTAAACACAATTGTCCTGTGACACATTACACACTGGTTGAACACTGCCACACAATTGCCATGTGACACATGACACACTGGTTGAACACTGCCACACAACTGTCCTGTGACACATGACACACTGGTGGAACACTACACACAATTGTCCTGTGACACATGACACACTGGTTGAACACTGCCACACAATTGTCCTGTGACACATGACACACTGGTTGAACACTACCACGCAATTGTCCTGTGATACATGACACACTGGTGGAACACTACCAAACAATTGTCCTGTGACACATGACACACTGGTGGAACACTACCACACAATTGTCCTGTGACACATGCCACACTGATTGAACACTACCACACAATTGTCCTGTGACACGTGCCACACTGGTGGAACACTACCACACAATTGTCCTGTGACACATGCCACACTGGTTGAACACTACACACAATTGTCCTGTGACACATGACACACTGGTTGAACACTGCCACACAATTGTTCTGTGACACATGACACACTGGTTGAACACTACCACGCAATTGTCCTGTGATACATGACACACTGGTGGAACACTACCAAACAATTGTCCAGTGACACATGACACACTGGTGGAACACTACCACACAATTGTCCTGTGACACATGCCACACTGATTGAACACTACCACACAATTGTCCTATGACACATGCCACACTGGTGGAACACTACCACACAATTGTCCTGTGACACATGACACACTGGTGGAACACTACCAAACAATTGTCCTGGGACACATGACACACTGGTTGAACACTACCAAACAATTGTCCTGTGACACATGACACAATGGTTGAACACTACCAAACAATTATCCTGTGACACATGACACACTGGTTGGACACTACCAAACAATTGTCCTGTGACACATGACACAATGGTTGAACACTACCAAACAATTATCTTGTGACACACGACACACTGGTTGGACACTACCAAACAATTGTCCTGTGATACATGACACACTGGTTGAACACTACCAAACAATTGTCCTGTGATGCATGACACACTGGTTGAACACTACCAAACAATTGTCCTGTGACACATGACACACTGGTTGAACACTACCACACAATTGTCCTGTGATACATGACACACTGGTGGAACACTATCAAACAATTGTCCTGTGATACATGACACACTATTTGAACACTACCACACAATCGTCCTATGATACATGACACACTAGTGGAACACTACCAAACAATTGTCCTGTGACACATGACAAGAACCGGTAATAGTGGAGCAAGATTTACTCCCTGATTTTTCAATGATGCATGAAACCATGAAACATAATGACTTACCTGGTGGAACACCATCTTCCACCCAACTGTCTTGCATCCTCATCTTGTCCTGGTGTTCATATGGACCAATCAGCAATCCTGTTCTTTCTTGTCTTAGGTAATATGACCCTTCTAAATCTCTAATAACTGGTAATTCATAGCCTAATGCTTTTACTTCTGGTATTGTTGAGGTAATAACGTATTGATGATGTATTGGTACCAATGGTAGTTCTATTCCAATCATCCGGCCTATTTCATGGGCCCAGAATCCTATTCAAATCGAACACATTTATTGATTACTATCTATTAATTTATTGTTATTGAAAATAGAACCATTACAACATGCTTACAGTGATATTATAATTTATACCATATATCATAAAGCAGTAATAATTATCTCCATACTATATGATATAAATCCTGGCAATCTGATTGGTCCATGCAAGCATATTGACTATTTGACATCGTGGCTGACTATCACAAAATACAGCATTTTCTCAAGATGTTAGTGGTTTAAATTTTTTGAATCATTATTATTATTATTAAGATTTATATTATTTTGCTTTTTTTGGAAGTTAAAATGGATTATAAAAATGCTTGTGAGCTTTAAAGCCACACATATATATGACATCATTCATCATTCTGTGTACCGGTATGTACACTCATGAACTACGATCACTGTTAGTTTTTTGCCCTAAGAGCTTGCAGAATAAGCAGGATATTAAATTTGAGATCCACAATATCACATTCATTAAACTCATGTACTAAGTTTTAGTGGCATGGAAATGAAAATGAGTACTTAGAATGGGTTAGATGTTATTATGCTGGATCAGCAACTCCAATAAGAACCATCACTACATTGGACTAGACTTGGGTTGACTTCAATACTGTAAAACATGTCCTTTTTACTAGCATGTCTTTTTGGAGAATTTAGAGGGAGAACTGATTTGCTAATTCAAAATGTCGCTAATGACTTTATTATACATTCAAAATGGCCAAGGTTTTGTATACAGTAATCAGGAACATAAAAATCTGCATCGTCCAAATCGCACGGTCCTGTGTCTTTGACCTATAGGCTTCGATACCTTGCCGGATCGCATAGGCAAATTGCCTATATTAAGCAGTGAGATGTGATTTGGCGCGCCTCGAAACAAGGTGCCCAATTAGCTTGGACGTACTAAATTATAAAACAAAATTCCACTTCCTGTTTTTGTCGCAATGAAGACACATCCTTCCCTCACAAAACTGCGTCGATTGCCTGTACCTGATGAGACTTGAGGGCACAAACACCGAAAACTTTTGCAATTTTATCATCACAAATATCACGATTTATTGGCGCCACAATTTTGTTTAAAATGAAACAGGTTTAAAATGAAGAGGGATTTGTAACACGCAACCTGATTGGACAATGATTAGCCGCAACTGACTACTGGGAGCGCTGTTAGAATATGCATATTTGATGGTCGTTCTGCCAAGGTCAGTTTAGAGGCTTGGCCGAATAAACTTAGACATTGATGGTCGTTCTGCCAAGGTCTGTTTAGAGGCTTGGCCGAATAAACTTAGACCTTGATGGTCGTTCTGCCAAGGTCTGTTTAGAGGCTTGGCCGAATAAACTTAGACCTTGATGGTCGTTCTGCCAAGGTCTGTTTAGAGGCTTGGCCGAATAAACTTAGACCTTGATGGTCGTTCTGCCAAGGTCTGTTTAGAGGCTTGGCCGAATAAACTTGAAAAATCTGGGGCGCTTCCTTCTTTCTTTGTTTTTATGGAGATGATAATTGCCCATTTGTTTTGGCACGCAACAGAAAAGTATTGTGAAAACAGGAAATGAACAATGAGAAATTCGCTAAATCAACATTTTGCTATTACGTCATTTTACCACAATTAGCTTTACAGTAATTACTAAACTGGACATGTTTAGCACAGGGTGACTCCAACAGAGACTACAATATACTGAGCACGTCTGGCATGGAAGAACTCCAATATGGACCTAGTTATGTTACACGCTAATATACACACCATACAGTAGATGATTTTCCATTCACGTTGAGATCTTGCATAACGCATGAATGATTTTATTTTGAACTTGAATTTTCCGCTTTTATAAGTCAATGTCGCAATTCATATTTATCAGAGAGGGAATATTTAGTTCATCAAATTTCATGTTTGTTGAATCCCATGCGATGTTTTGCTGCGACTATGGTTTCCGGCAGAAGTAATGGTATTAATTTGTCTACAATAACCTGGCCCCGGCTTATACTTGTGTGTCTCAGGTGCCCCGTGGTAAACCTGTTGACTTGTCTTCCCTCAGTTTGCACACGGACGACTAAAAGCCAGTCCTGCTACTGTGGCATCCTGAGTCAGAGTGACAGGTCCTCCGACCACACCACGCAAACACACGATAAAAGAATTTTGAATAAAATTAAACACAACATACATCTGCTCTTGCATTCGCTACATACACCTGTACTTCAATTTGCAAGCCTAATTGCAAGACAGATTATTGTCATGAATTATGTCATACCTGATGCGTTGACAACTCTGTTGGCTTTCATTGTACCTTCCGGCGTCTCCACTTCCCATTTGCCGTCTGATGTCTGTTTCATGCCTAACACAGGAGCATTCTGATAGATTTCGGCACCATATTTACGAGCACCAATTGCGTAAGCTTGAGTTAGCGAATATGGATCAATGTGGCCATCTCCTGGGTTATACATTCCTAAAATTATCTGAAACGTACAGAAGTTCGAAAGGCAATGTTAGACAGACAGAATTAAACACTACGTTTGGTACATTGTGTTTTTTGATACTGTTCAACGTGCGATATTGGTCGACTCTAGCATACTTGCACATTACTTTAGTTTGAGATTGATTAATTGACATTAAAATTGACATTGCTTGAATGAGTATTACTGGATGGAAATGATTACTTAATATAAATTTTTTTTTAAAATTCTTTGTATTTTATTTGACTGACCGTGTTGTAATTAAATCCCTGGTAATGCATATTGGCATTGCTTTCGTTTGCTTAGTATTTTGATGATTCATTGTAGCCTTCTTGGATAAATTTCACCTTAAAAACTCAATTAATTTGCAGTCTCTATCAGTTATTAAATGTATACTTTAAATTTGAGATCTTCCCAAAAATTTAAAAATGTTATTCTATTAACTCGCGCTCTAAATTCCTGCATTATATTACAAAGAAATCATTAATATCAAGAGAATTAAGAAATAAATAAAACATGTTGCAAAACTTGACAAACACGGACTAAAGAATCAAAATTATTAAATTACAATCATATCGCAATGTACTTTTCCAGTGACCACAACCATTGATAACAACACATTGTAATTTTTCCCTCATGACATTAGACATAACTATGGGCATGTAGCAAGAGAAATAATGCTTCAAAACAACACATGTAGATTGTAATATTTTCTTGAATAGAAAACATCAAATGAACAAAATGCTCCATGTTGCTGAAGGGTTAATCTTGAGTCCATCACCACCATATACGGATGCCATAAATGATCTGATGCGCAAGTTCACTGAATGGCCACATTCAATGTCATGACATTATTTTTTGGTTTATTTAGAGTACTGATGGCAAGGCTTCATGCCATCCCAATTCATGTTGCTGTATGCAGGAACTCCTTATTAAACTGACCAATGCCAGACGAAATCATCGCAAATGTTCTGTTATCTGTTTTATTTGGAATAATAAATCACTATTTATTGAATCAATCAAAATGTATCTTTTTAATTCACATAATTGAAAACCCATTTTTACTATCTTCAATTATTTGAATTTTTACAGTAATTGTTTTTTTTGTTTTTTTAAATGTTTTTGGTGCCAGGCGTCAGTTCTGGACATTGAATGTCACTATTGTTTCTCCTAATTTTTTTTTTGTAAGAGAAAATTGCAAGTGCTAGTGCTGACATATTTTTGTATTTTTGCTACAGAAACCATATTCATGTTTGAGACTACATGACAGGGCTGTGCGGCTAGCTCTCCATCAAATGGCAATTTAATGTGCTATCCTGGCATCAACCAGGCTCAGTCGAACACTAGCATTTGCCGACCTTAACCAAGGTTCCCCCAAAGTCGCATTTGAATCTGGGCCAGTGGAATTGAAGTCTGTAGCACACTCACCCAGGGTAGGGGAAGTCAACTCTTTTTTGGTGCTCATGCAATCTAAGATAGGATTTAAACTTTGGTCTAACGATCACAAGTCTGATGCGACAACGACAACAACTATACTATTACCAGTGACCGGTAATTGTTTATTTTCATAATTTCATAAATCGATACCAATACTGTCATATTTTTTTATGAAAGAACCCATGATATTGAATTCAGTTGAAAACAATATTTTTTCGAATTGTTTGTTTACGAGTCTTTGTTACTTTAACTACGGCATACTGTTAGGTTGTAACTGAGGTAAAATTTTAGATTCATAATAATGTACAGGTACTGTTATAGAGGATTTATTTACAATAATTTACCAGTAGTCAACAAACTGATACATCCACTCGTGCTGATCTTACCAAAAAACAAGTCATTGTCAATGACAGGTCCCCGTTCCGTTCATATTTGAGTGACATATACATTCAAAGCAGATCATGACCGAAATGCACCTGCATATGTACAACACATTGTACTAAATTTGAACAAAATCCATCCATGCATGACTGAGATCCGGTTCCGGAATTGTGAAAATATGTGATTTTGATGCATTTTCGGCCTTAAAATGGCTATTGTTAAGCGGATCATGAAACAAATGCACATATCTATTTGTGACATGATGTACCATGTGTGTGTGAAGTTTGGAAC